CCATATCAATATACTGACGCCAGAGTTGTCCGGTAGGGTGATTTCCCAAATTTTGTTCTTTCAATCTCAAATCTTTTAAGTACTCAACGGTTATCGATAAAGCGTCGTCGACGGAAATTTCACATTGTATCAGCTTATCAAATAGCTTATGCATTTCCCGAATATCAGTATCTACTTTCTATTGGCGATAATGGTAAATTGTATACAGTACTTTGCTGAGTATCAGCGCACGTAAAACACGAGGAAATGTGCACGAGCTGCCTTAGCATACGCCTTCCCACTCAAATTGTGCCCGACAGTGTTTTCTCCATAGATTTCCTCCAAAATTTGTCTCAGCCCGGAACTGCCCATAACGTGACCAATTGAATCCAAAAAACCCATAGCCGTATGGAAACCTCCCAGATGTAACACTATACGTTTCAGTTTACTGTCGGGTGACTCATTATTAATAATTGGTCGAAAGTGATTATTGGTGTGCAGCCATGACGATTACATTCGTCAGTAATAAATGATAGGGTCGAATAAACACAACTGAGGTTGGGATCCATGTCTATCATTGGTAAAAATCGTATGGTGGCTTTTCCTAGATGGTCCCAATTCGTAACGGCCTGCATAGTGTCGGACCAGAGCGGCCTATTTGGTTTCAACGGCCATCAAAACTTTCCATACCAAGTCCAACTTAGTAGAAGGAGTACAAAAAGGTAGTTTGTAGAGGTTCATGGGGTGCTTTTATTTACGTTTTTCCCCATCTCTTCAACCAGTTATGTTATTGTCCTCTGTTCATCACTATTAGCAACCATGTCCTCCATTACTGTTAAAAACGAGTTTTGCCTTTGAATATTTGTTGGTCTCCCAGGAGCGTTACTTTTTGTAGCGAATGATTCTTCGACATTTATAAATTTTACAGGTATATTCTTCCCGGTTCGAAAATTGACGCTACACATTTAGTGGTAATTATCGTCAGATGCGTGTAGATCCCTGGCGAATTCAATTTTTCCCCAACACACTAGTACCCCAGTCATCGTTTCTCTCCATACACGACGTGTAGATTAATGTCTGGAATCTCATCTTTCGTACAGGATAACACATATTACATTTTCTACTATCAGGATTAATCTCGGCTACATTCAACACAGCGTCGCATCCGCAGAGAAAACATTTAGATTTGAACGGGAAAGGTGTAGTTTGGGAACGCCGTTTTATAGATATTGCGGCATACCAGATGGTCCGGGCGAAGGCCCGTAGAACCATACGTCAAGCAAAGAAGTCTTCATGGCAAGGTTACGTCTCAAGGACCAATTCCCGTACCACATCTAGGTCGGTATGGGATAGGATTCAAGGTAAAAGTAGTGCTTTATCAGTTAAGCATCTTAATGTTGGTAATTCCACCTTAACAACATTTCCTGATATTGCTAATTCTCTGGCCAGTACTTTTTCATTTAATTCATCCAATTTCTCCTCCGATGCCTTTCGAGGCATTAGACAACAACAGGAGAAAAGGCGACTTAATTTCAAGTCCCGCAATGATGAATGCAATAATGATACCTTTTCCATTGCAGGGATTCGCTAAAGCGAGCTCGAGATACTGCAACTGGGCCAGATGAAATACACTACCAAATTCTTAAACATTTACCCTTTTCCACTCTCTTAATTTTACTGGATCTTTTTAACCGGATTTGGGTTGATGGGAAATTCCCCCTTTCGTGGCATGAAGCCACAATCATTCCCATCCCTAAACCCGGCAAAGATCATACGAATCCTATCGTCCGATCGCTTTAACTAGCTGTATTTGCAAAACCATGGAGAGATTGATCAATCGAAGGCTTGTTTGGTACCTTGAGTCCAACAACCTCATTACTGACCTCCAATGTGGATTTCGGTCCCAATGGAACACTCTTGATCATCTCGTGCGATTTGAAACATTCGTCAGGGATGCTTTCATCCAGAAGCAACATTTAGTTGCAATATTTTTTGATCTGGAGAAAGCATATGATAAAACATGGTATCATGCGCGACCTCCATAACCTCGGCCTACGAGGTCGCTTACCTATCTTCATTAAAAATTTCCTGGAAGATAGGTCATTTAAGGTACGACTGGGATCAATATTCTCTGACCCATTTCCTCAGGAAATGGGAGTTCCCCAGGGAAGTATTTTATTTCCAACATTGTTTGCAATAAAAATTAATGCTATCCCAGCGTGCCTTGAACCAGGTACCAACGGCGCTCTTTATGTTGATGACTTTCAGATATGCTATGGTTCTACATACATGCGGATAATCGAACGTAAGTTGTAGCTTTGTTTGAATTTACTTCAACAATGGGCAACCGAAAATGGATTTCGTTTTTCGAAATCCAAGACTGTCTGCATGCATTTCTGTCAGAAACGAGGTTTGCATCCTGATACAGAACTTTTTTTGGATGGCAACCACCTTCCAGTTGTGCATGAAACCAAATTTCTGGGGCTGATATTTGATAAGAAATTGTCATTTATCCCCCACATTAAAAACCTAAAAAAGAAAGTCTGAAAGCCCTCAACAAATTGAGAGTCTTGTCATACTGACTGGGGAGCAGACCGTAAGGACTTGCTCGGATTATACCGAGCATTAATAAGATCAAAACTCGATTATGGGTGTATTGTGTATGGGTCTGCCCGCGAGTCTTATCTCAAAGAGCTCGACACCATACACAACCAGGGACTTCGAATCAGTTTAGGAGCATTTCGTACATCTCTAGTGGACAGTTTATACGTCGAGGGGCATGAGCCCTCACTGCACAACAAACGTGATAAACTCGCCCTGCAGTATGCTACGAAAATAGCATCACTTCCGAATCACATTTCATTTAATACCATATTTAGACCTCTTCATGAGGATTTGTATCTGGTGAAGACTAATGTTATTCCATCATTCGGTATTCGCATACAACCCCTTTTGTCTGAGGCTGGTATCAGCCTTGATAGTATTGCGAGTACCCCTGACTCTAGCACTCCATCGTGGGCTATATCTCCCCCAAAGAACGATTTTGATCTTACTCAACATAAAAAGAGAGACACTAGCTCTACGGTGTTCCAATCTCTCTTTAGAGAGTTAAGGTCTAAGTATGGTGATTATGCTCCTATTTACACAGATGGTTCTAAGGATGGCGACCGGGTAGCTTCGGCTACTGTGACGCCATCTGAGACAATTTCTGTGTGTCTTCCACCTGCTGCTTCAATATTTACAGCTGAGCTCCGGGACATTCTTCAGGCCTTGGAGTTCATACAATCCTCTTCATCTTTAAAGCATATCATCTATTCTCTGTCTTCGCTTCAAACAATTAACAATAAACAGCTTGAACACCCATAAGTAGCAGATGTTTATAGTCTGCCACTATCTTACGAGTTGAGCAGCAAAGACGTTGTCTTTTTGCTGGCTCCCCAGTCACGTTGATATACGAGGGAATGATGAAGCAGATTTTGCTGCCAAAGCTGCTTTAGATCTTCCCCAATCACCCTTTTTAATACCATGTACAGATTTTAAATCATGTACAAATTATTTTATTTATGACCGCTGGCAACGGTCTTGGAGGCACAAATAAACTTAATCACATTAAGCCCCTACTAGGAGATAGGTCCAACTCCTATAGAACCAACAGGAGGGATGAAGTTGTTTTGTGTCGCTCTCGCATTGGTCATACCTTTTGTAAGTTTGATAAAAAAAAACATTTAAATATGAATGTCGACATGGTTCCTGCTTGTGATCCTAATGATAAGCACCGGAAAGCCATAAAAAAAACTCTTTGGCGATTTGAACAGTTACAAGACATTGCAGAAATATCAACAAAACTTCTCGCCTTAAAATGTTTTAAAAATTGTGGACAGATGACAGTTAATGTATAAATAGAAACAGACAATTCTACTTTCTTTTTATTGTTTTTCTACCACTAAAGTTAAATTGAAACGAATAATTAGTTATACTTTCGTTTTGTATTTTTACTACCAATGTACCAAATAATACGACTTTTTATTTTATAGTATTACTATCAGTATTATGCAAATAAAGACAATTATACATTCATTTTATAGTTTTTCTATAGACATTATAATACTTTTATTTTATAGTTTTGCAAGCAGTGTATGGAAATAGAGACAACATTTTATATCTTAATAGAGACAGGCATTTCTACTTTCAATTTAACCTTTTAGTAGCACTATATCAAACAGAAACAGGCAATTCTACTTTCATGTTATAGCTTTACTAAAAAGTAATAATGTAAATTTAGACAACTAATACGACTTTCATTCTATAGTTTTACTACACTACCAGTAATATACAGAGAATCTCCTACCAGTCTTTTTTGATATCAAAAAATATCAACACAAATTGATAAAGTAACAAAAAACGAGGCTCTGTCGAGGTTTTTTTTTTACCTTATCAACGAGTGTTGATATTTTTTGATGTCAAAAAAGACGAGTAGGAGATTTTATTTATCAACCAATCCTTTCTTTCATGCACAAATAGATAAATATAATACTTTGCTGTAGATTTCACTTTTACTGAACATTACGGCGTAGTGATACATTATTTTTTGACAGCAATTCAACCATTGCAAAGTTCTTTATATTGACCAAGTGTTTCCCTCAAGGTCAGTTGTATAACAATAGTTCATTTTTAATTAAAAAAAAGTTACTTTTAATAAGAAATGAACTGTTCTTTGAAAATAAAAAAAAGTAGTTCCTCTTCAACTGACCAATCAAATTCGTGTAAAGCGATATCTCCTAAGGAGATTATGAAATATATCAAACAAGCGATATCTACTGTAGAATGTATTATTGGGTGATAAAGTCAATTAACACAACTTAGATTTTATATATTTTACCACCGGAACTACAGGATTACAAGAGAATTATTAAGCTCTTATTAACGGCTTCTCACAAAGGAAATAACGTATTTTGTCACATCCGTTATCGTTCAACTCCAGACTTTTGAATTGTAAACAATCTTGGTTACCATTGTGATTATTTGGTTGGCCAGTTGCCCATCCCTTGGTGGTTACATCTGATCCATCTATCCATGTAAACTCGCCTTCTGTAGTCAGATCACTGCCTCCAATCCATTGCTCACTGTCTACAGCTAATATAAAAGTACATAATTTAATGGATAACTTTGGCATAATCGATCTTTTTCTGTACTGAAGAGTATTGCAGTACATGAGATAATATACTGAGCGCCATGGAAAACGCATCACATTTTTCCCCAAATATTTTATTACTAGGTGGTTTTGTATGTATAATATTATGCAATACTATGAACTATTGTTTCACACAATGCTCCCAAACGCAAATAATATCGGCCCGTGTGCACAAAAAAAATTGCACGAGATGCACATGAAAAACCCAATGTTCACGTGCAGCATTGTGTGTGAGCCCTTTAAAAGCATGTTTTCAACTTAATGTGCAGTACATGAACTATGAAACGTCAATCTGTCGTAATTTGTTGTTGGACGGGTGAAGGAATCGAGCTAGAGATGCCGAGACTTACTGAAAATCAACGGAATGAAGCCATGGGAATGTCCAGGGCTGCCATGTCTACACGTGCTATTGCCAGACACTCCAATTGTCATCAGTCCACTATTGTAAGGTTGGTGGAACGTGTTCGAGTTACTGGATCAACACGTGACCGTCAACGTCCTGGTCCACAACGCGTTACGACCCAGACTCAAGACCGCTACATCCGGGTCACTCATCTGCGTGACAGATTCCGCTCAGCGACTCGAACAGGTGCAGCAGTCGTCGGAAGACAAGGACCAGCAAGTGCCAACACCGTAAGACGTCGTCTAAGAGAAGTAGGACTCCGTGCACGACGCCCTTATGTTGGAGAGAGAAATGGGGTTTAACGTCGACTCGACACAAATTAGGTCATTTCGGGACTAACATATTTTTTTAAAAATTTTATTTAGCAGTGGGAGGAAACCCACGAGGTTGGACAGGCGACCCAACTCCTTGTCACGTACAACCGGGGATTCGAACCCTTATGTTGGAGCTATCCTCAGGGATCATCACCGTCAGCGGCGTTTTTTTATAGGCTCAAGGCCACCAGTAGACTGGCAAAGTGTGCTCTTCAGTGATGAGAGTCGCTTTCATCTTTATCACGCTGATGGCCGTCAACGTGTGTGCTGCGTCTTCGAAACGAATCGATAGGGTGGGGGACGTGTAATGGTGTGGGGAGGCTTCACATTTCATCACCGGACCGCCCTACACATTTGCAGGGGTCGCGTTAATGCTGTAGCCTACCGTGATGATGGCCCGTGGAGGACACACGTGCTACTTACATCTGTGTGGTACTTTTGGTTTTGACCCCTCTGACTTTGTACCCTTGATTACAGATTAAACATCCATAAGTGTACAAATGTGTTGTTATGAATATTGTTCACAATACGAAGCAAAATAAATAAGATATGTTTACAGGATCATTTTGTTATACGAAAAACTAAGTGATGCGTTTTCCATGGCGCTCAGTATAGGAAAGGCAAGGGGACCATACACTACACGCACACAGAACCGAACAGACAATTCGGCAGACAAGAAAGACATTCAAAGAAATAAATATCAAATCCATAAGTCAATGCACCTTATCTATTGCAACATACAAGCCGCCTACATTTGGATTCATTAAATAGAGGTGGGTGTGTAATGGTCTATCATTATATTTAGTGGTGATAGCGGCTGAAGTGGTCAATCATTATCTTTGGTGGCGGTGGTAGGGTGTGATGTGGTCTGTCATTGGTGGCGATGGGAGGGGGCGAAGTGGTCTATCATTATATATGGTGGCGGTGGTAGGGAGTGAAGTGGTCTATCATCATTAAAATTGCCAGTCTAAACTCGTGTTTTCGTTGGCAATGCCCTAATTTCCCGGCGGGAGATTTTGGTGTATTACGACGACTTACACGAATCTTCGGTAAAAATATCTAACCCTTTTTCTAATAGCTACCTCTTTATGGGTTCTTCCATAGACTTATAACGGTAAATCTCTTTGATCTTTGGGGTATATTCTATGCCCGGAATAACTTGGATATATACACGGGAATTTGGGGTTATTCTTCTGAGTTTTTCTTTAAACCTGTAACGGTTTATTCTTCCAAAATAGTTTTTTTTTCATAAGAAAACATGATACAAGGTTTTTCTTACGGGAATTCTATGATATTCAGAAAAAAAACCTCGACAGGAAAATCTCGGTCTGCCGGCCTCGGTTTTTCTTTTTCTCGGGTTATTTTCTTCAGTCTTTCTTTCCCCAGCATAACCCCAGTCTTCTGCTTTATCCGACACATAAACACACCACATATTCAAATAGAAAGTTTGCATGTGAATTCTTGAACGGCGTTTGTTCAAGCTACATGTATTGAATACTGAAGCCTTTCTTTATTGAATTTAAGAGTTTAGACTACTTTTTTTTATACATTTCACCGATCTGGTTAATTGTATAGTTGAATTTTACTACATATGCTTACATTCGTATTTCATATAGCAGATCATGACTCATGCTGGCATTACACAATGGGTTCTTTGGGTGGTATTCCTAATTGTAATTTTCAAATTTGAGTGAAGTCTGTGTCACTACAGACCCGGGACTGTACAGCGCAGTGGATGCTTACGGCTAGCCACCGGATCCATTTACTTTTTTTGAATTGTCTGTATGTTTGTGTTTTCCTGAGTATGATGTCCTGTCCGTGTATTTGTTTTTGTGTAAATTTTGTGTGGTGCAGTCCCCCTGCACTTATTTTAGAAATCATCAAATAAAAGCATGCCGATATTTAAATGTTCATAACCGGGAAAAATCTTTTTCTCTTTTGAAAGGCTATAATACCCCTTTCTAACATACACTACGACCTCGCTTCGCGGCTGAACAAATCAGCCAGATCGGGACGCTGCACGGTCTTTGTGGGTGTAGTAAGAGCCGCGTACCGAAGTCGTGATGGAAACGAAATCCTGGCGACATCGTAGTGAGATTGGGGACATAGTCACGCTCTTAATACACCGATAAAGGCATCGCTACATCCTCTATGCAACGCCCTCACAACGTTCCTAAATTTTTCGTTAGGCACCTTTCGGACATAACGAAGTCCTCAAGTCTCACGATTCACTATAAACATCAACCAAAACACAGGATGTGAGGAAAGGGTATCAATTGGTTAAATGCCAACAGAAACAACCAGTGGCTGCCAGGCAGGATACGCCCACATTTTCGAGAGATGGATAGAAAACAAGCTAAAACGAAAGTGATTTTTCCTACAATCAAGGGCCATAATTCAGGAAATTACAATTCGATATGCGCAAATATCGAAAAGATCCAAGATCTTTCGGTTATAAATTTACATTTCAAGTTTCAACACAATCGGATAAAAATTGTAACCTCTATAGGGTCCACAACCTTGATATACCATATTTTTACCCAATTTGAGAACGATGGGCGGCCATTTTGTCTGTCAGTTTTGGGCGGATTTTCACGAAATTCTAACTCAGCCGTCTTTAGGGTGTAACGGTTATATAATAATAATACGGTTTTTTAAATCGGATTAAAATTATGACCTCTATAGGTCTACAAGCCAAAAAACGTGATTTTTCGTACAATCAGGGGACATAATTAAGGAAGTTACGGTCTGATATGCGCGAATATCGAAAGGAACCGAGATCTTTGGGTTATAAACTTACATGTCAAGTTTCAACAAAATCGGATAAAATTTGTGACCTCTATAGGGTCCACAACCTTGATATACCATATTTTTACGCTATTTGAGAACGAAGGGCGGCCATTTTGAATGTCAGTTTTGAGCCGATTTTCACGAAATTCGATCTCAGTCGTCCTTAGGGTGTAACGGTGATATAATAATATGTTTTTTTAAATCGGATAAAAATTATGAACTCTATAGGGTCCACAAGCTAAAACGCGATTTTTCGTACAATTAGGGGTCATAATTCAGGAAGTTAGGTCCCGATTTGCACGAATATCGAAAGGAACCGAGATCTTTGGGTTATAAGGGGCTATAATCCATGAAGTTACGGTCCGATAGATGCCAATATCGAAAGGAACCGAGAACTTAGGGTGATAAACCTATATATTTCAAGTTTCATTGAAATCGGATAACAATTGTGGACGGAACGGGGCAACGACAATATACGTCCACATGAAAATGTGGGCGTATAAAAATGATTGCATGCGACACGTAATACGTCAACATTTTCTTACATAGTTGGAGTGTCTTCAGTGCCTCCAGTTTTATATAGAAGACACTCGTTCTCATCACAAGTAACTGTCCACCATCTTGTTCACAAGTTGCCTTGGCGTCTGTCCAAATCTTTTTTTCGTCATATACCTTTATACACAATACACCACCAAATATAACGTCATACCCATCTAGATTACATTTACCTGTAAAAATTAAACCATGCCAAATCCAAATAGTTGTTTAAGATTAAACATGACAGGTACAAAATGAAATGGGGTTTAACGTCATGTTCTGCTCCGACCTGAAAATCGCGTGTTCAATCCCTGCATTAGCCGCGAAAGGTCATCGGGAGTTTCCGACGTGGTTTCCCCTTGTCAGTAGTGCAGGACTTTGGGCCTGTCAAGGAACTGTCTAGTCGTTGGGATGAGACGAAAACCGAGGTCTCGTGTACACGTTGGCGTGCACGTAAAAGATCACTGTGCAGTTGGAATTCGATATAAGAGTATGCCATAGGGGCGCTGCCCGGACAAAATTTCCTTCATAGCACACTGCACGGCGTATCAGAAGATGATAATTGTTGTATTTGATAACAGGATGTCGTGTGGCAGGTGTACTCTTTTCAGAACATCTGGGGAAATCTCAGACAAATTTCAGTTTATCACAACGCTGTAAATACTGAACATTAGGTAAGCGATAAATGACGTATCGAGCAATTAACTCACACTAAAAAAAAATTACATAATGTTACTTACCGAAGTATAAAACAAACTAGAATTATCACGAAATATAATCCTACCGATGTCTTTTGAAATTAATTCCGTTTACCACTAATAATTTTGTTGGTTGTGTTCGTTAGTGTCTTGATTATCGAAAAAACTAATAAAATGAACATTTAATGCCAGTGCTTACCTTTGAGAACATGGTCAACGTAAATAGATTTAATATTTACTGAATCTGTACCAGGTGAGGCTGCATTTACAATAAAACACGATCTGTTTTGCCAGTAGAAATAGGTACAACCTTCAGTAGAAATACACAATAGTGCACAGGTAACAAGGGATATGTCGTTGATTTCATGAGAATAAAACGTAGTTACCGAATTCTGTAAATTATATCTGCTGTAGAAATCCTGTTTACACGCGATGGTAAGAAATAAACCAAAACTTATACCCAGCGTATATTGTAACGACTTCATAATTAAACCTTGTCTAATAAAGAATGTTGGCTCTCAATTGAACTTCTACCTCTTGCAGACTTGAACACTATAAATGTCCAAATACATAGCACGTGGCTAATTAAAAATATGTCTTCTAAACGCTGATTGTAATAAACCAAGAAGTAGCAAATCCATAAAGCTGTGTTATGACTATTATTATGACTATTATAACAAAGGGATAGATGAATACTGGTATATAAGTATCTTCTAAATCGTTTAAGTCATAACATCCCGTACCATAGTGATATTACCGGAATGGTTACCAACAAACAAACCCTTAATGATAACATAAAATGGTAGTTATATTGTTGTAGCGGTGTCAGTGTATTCTGTTTTAGTCATAACATGTCGTACATGTAAGAGTCTGCTACTCTTTAGAGACAGAGAAATGGGGTTTAACATCAACACAAACTATGTCATTTCGGGACTAACATATGGTTCAATTTTATTTCAATAATTCGCTTGCGCGTAGGGTTCTTAGCATTGGGATGAAACCAGAGGACCTGGAGAAAACTCACGAGGTCGGACAGGCGAACCAGGTATTATTACGATGTTTAATATATAACTATAAATGACTAAAGATGTATATGTGACAAACACAACTGTTATGTTGATTTTAATGTATTCAATTACTACATGCCCTTCGCACAGAACATTACAATACAGAAGGTTGATACTAATGAACAGATGACTCTTAGTTTTGGAAACTAAACATATCTAAATAGTCATTTCTTATGAATAATATTCTGTAGCAAGTACGAGGGCTGGCTGAAAAGTTATAAGTCTGAACAGGATAGATAAATTGGGGTGAACAAGCGTATGCCACCAATAAGTACAATCACTGAATGAATCATAGACATAAGAACTGCAACTGTAGTATTATAATTGTCTTCGTATCGGACCATCTTGTGAACCTACCTGCTGAAATCACCAGGAATGGACAGATTGGCTGTAGGGCAGTCATCATATACCTGCATTTGAGCGGACTAACCACAACACAAATACATGCCGGCATGTTTCCTTTTTTGGGGATGATTTTCCTTTCTTTACCACAGTAAAAAAAGTGTGCTGTGGAATTTAAGCGTGCAAAGAGAGACTTGACGATGACCCGTGTCCTGGAAGGCCGTCAACAGCAATCATTCACGGAAACAATACCCTGGTGCACGACATGGTGATGACTGATTGACCGCTCGGCATACTGCCATTGTTGTGGGCATCTCTCATGAGAGGGTGGAGCAGACTTATCGCCAACGAGTTAGGAATGACAAAAGTGTTTGCAAGATGGAGTTGTATCAGAAACTGGTTATTTTCCCGACTTCCCGTTAGAATCTGCGCTGTTTTGAAGTGATCCTGGCGGCATGCGCACGTACTGAACGAATAACTCGTCTACTACTGCTGACTAAATACCACACTGATCCGCAGTGAATATTCGCTTGACCGCTACAATCACTGATAAGGATGACATCGATGCGACTTAATGACTACAAAATATTAACTTTTTTCTTTCGACAAATTAAATTCTGAAACATTTTTTTTTAGTATTAGAAAAATAAATAAAGGTGTTTGAAGTTTATCTTGATAAAAAATATTCCATAATTAGCGTAAATAGGTACAGAAAATAGTACGCGGAGGCGTAAAATGGGTAAAACGATATAATTCTGCCCGTACCAGTTCATATTACTACCGTCTAATCTGATTGACCTGCTCGTGTTTGTTTTAAAACAACAAAAACAAGCCACAGAAGTAATCTTTTTTGGCGTTATCGATGCCATCTTGCTTTGTTGGTAAACATTGTGATGTGACGTCACCCTTAGAACTACAGCGGTCTGACCTTTTAAAGGTCAGTCATCTTGGACAGAGATAAAAGACGGATGTTGCATTAGGTCTGTAAAACAGATTGACTATATACATCTAGCCATAACGGACCTGTAAAATCAACTACAAGCTCAGGTAATTAATACCTGTATATTGCAAAATACCCACATCGTCACCTGACCCGTACCGCACCTGTAAAATCAACTATATAATAATACCTATATATTGCAATATATCCAGGCCGAACTAGAACATTCACTTGTGGCTCAAAATTGCATTAGAACATAGCCCTTTGAATTGTTATGATTTTAATCAATATATGATAAATGAATAATTAGTTAATATATACGTATACAAAAATCTATTTATCTTAATATTAATGCCGGTGGAAAGTATTTTGGTTTCATTATTAATATGAACAAATCTTCTAATTGTCATGAAATATCAATTCAAAACTTCAAGGCTGGCCAATAGGCGCATAAAAGAGATGAACTTGTGTTTAGATTGAACTTAATATCTGTTTACAGAGAATTAAAATACCTGAATAAACCAAAGTATATTGTTTTACAGGGTTTAACGAATGCTGAATCATTGTCAGACCTTTTAAGATCAATAGGAGGGCTGTTTATTGATGCAGCGATGATAATGACTTATTTCGAAGTCTAAATGTATAATTTTCAGGTCTTCTTTCAAATCTGTTTTTAAGACATAGTTTATTCACTATAAATGAATGACAAATTGGGGAACACCAAATGTTTATGTCAGACCTTTATTCACTATAAATGAATGACAAACTGGGGAACACCAAATGTTTGTCAGACCCCTATTCACATTCTTTCAAATGATATGAGACAGGTTTCTATACAAAAAGTATGAGTAGTAGATTTAATGCCAGTTAATAGCGTTTTATGTTGTAATACTGTGGTCGTTGCGACCATATTGTATCTGTACCTAATTATTTGGTTCACGCATTCTATAGAGTCAAATCACATGCTGTGATGTACACTGTAATTCAATTCCCGTAATTTTTAGGACAACTTGGCTGGCAGCTAGGTTGCCAAGGTTTTGTCGCCAAAATTACGACGCATCGTAAACAAATGTTTACGGTCTTACCGTAATTTTTACAATCTTACAGTAACTATTTTTATTTTTACAACGTAACCGTAAGTTTTACAACATTAAACCGTAATTTTTACGAAGAAACTTTGGCAACCTAGCTGCCAGCCAATTAGTCATACATTTACGACTTCAAGTTTCATCAAAATCGAATAAAAATTGTGACTTCTAGAGGGTCAACAACTTTGATATTACATACTTTTAAACTATTTGCATACAAGGAGCGGCCATTGTGTGAGGCAGTTTTGGTCAGATTTTACAAAATTCGAACACATCCATCATTAGGGTGTAACGGTGATATAATTATAGGTTTTTTTTCTTTTAAATTGAATATTAGCTAAACACGTGATTTTTTTTACAGTTAGGGGTCATAACCCAGGAAATTATGTTCCTATATTATGTGCAATTATCGAAATGAACCAAAAACTTTGAGATATAAACATAAACTTCACAAAAATCGAATCAAAATAGTGACCTCCTTGATATACCACACTTTTACAATATTTGCGTAGGAGGTGCAATTTATGGCCAACTTTAACGAAATTCGAACGCTTTGTTTTCGGATAAAAATTGTGATAATAACGCGATTCTTCGTACAATCAGGAGCCATAATCCAGGAAGTTACGATCCGATATGCGCGAATATTGTCGACAGGAACCAAGATCTTGGTGTTATAAACATACATTTCAAGTTTCATCAAAATCAGACGAACATTGTCCACAAACCTAACAACGTGAATTTTCGTACAATCAGGGGGCATAATCCATGAAGTTACGGTCCGATACTTGCTAATTTCGAAACGAATCGAGATCTTTGGGATATAAACCTATTATTTCAAGTTTCGTCAAGATCAGATAAAATTGTAACCCGTAGAGTTTCCACAAACAAATTGTGGATGTCCAGACGGACAGTGGTGACGACAATATATGTCCACATGAAAATGTGGATGTATATAAATAATTATAATTAACTTTTAAGGGGGACCTGTAGTCGAAAAACAAAAAATGCAAAATAAAATCTGGTTTTGAGATTATTTTTTTTTTTCACAAATTCAATTCATTATTCTTCGATAAATAAACAGTTTTCACTATTTTTTATTATTTTTCCTCGAAAAATGTATTTACCCCAAAGGCCTGTCCAAATAAAAGATAGTTGTTCTCAAAATATTCGAAAAAATTAATCATATTCAGCGTCAAATACTATTCCAAGTAATATTCCGACCGCCATGTTAGACGTATCGTTGTGAAGCGGAAGACTCGCTCTGCATGATGGTCGTAAAATCATCCTTGTAAATAAAATTATTAGTCGGCAAAAGCCGTAAAAGAACCGAACGAGAATAACCGTATTTGGAATGTAAGTAGGTCAAAGCATCTTCGCGCATGCGTGCTATTCATGTTTTCAAAATGATACTACGCTCGGCAATTTCATACTTTCTCCGGTATGATAGTACCCCGTCCATATATGGCATAGTCGCAATTATACCAGTACTATTTTCTAATAAAAATTTTTTATGTATGACAACCGTGTCTATTATTTACCCGCGTAATTCATCTGCAATTTTACTACGATTTACTATAAGATTTATTTACATTTCTCGACGCCTGTTTTAATTATTAAAGAGACAATATGCCTAGAAAAAGTTATCGGTTTGGACATGGAAAAATCCCTAAGATGTAAACAGTTAATAACTGCAAGAAAAGAGAATATTAGGACTAGTGTTTAAAATAACACCAATGTCAATAATGATGAGGCTGTAGATACATTGTAGATTGTGAGCAGAATATTTGTGACTCAAATGTTAATGATGCAGATGATATTAATAGCAGTAATAATAATGATAATAAAGATAGCAGTAATAATAATCCACCAACTACACCTATCTCAGCTTCCAAAAGAAAATTACAGGCAAATTTTAGTAGATTTAGATCAAAACAGTGGATCGGGATTATTTTTATTCAAAAATCGGTTTTATGTCAATTAGTAAAAAAAATGAAATGCCCAAAGTGAAACTTGGAGGAACTAACAGTCCAAATTACTGATAAAAATCTAGGACTAGTTGTGTATTTGTACACCCAGTGCACATCATGTGGGTGTATTGTGAACTCAACTCATACAAATAAACCACTAGCTAATGAAACTTCCAGTCGTACTGCATTTATTTTGACACGAACCCTAGTGTTTGCATCATTGGACATGGGGTTGGGGTTCGATGAACCTAGAGCGGTTTTAGACTTTCATGTTTCCGCGTTTTGCCATTCTTGTTCATATGCAAAAAAAATAGACTTGGAGACGACACCGACGAGTTTTTTTTTTAATTGGTTTCAATCCCATAAACATGAGTGTAATATAA